TGTTCTAGATCAGCTGTTCTTGACTCCCTGGTGATTTTGTGATTTATTTTGCTACTTATCATCCTACAGTGAGCAGGACAGACACCTCACAGCAAGGAATCACCTGGCCCCAAATGCCAGCAATGCCAAGGTTGAAAAACCCTGCTCCGTAGGCACCATCGACATCAACCTAAGCCCTCACTAAGGCAAGTTTACCCAGAATCCAATTAAGAAGTCAAGCTGTGATGCCAGTTCAATAACAAAAATTAAAACAGCAGCTACCATTTATGACTGCATGCTTAAATAGGCCAAACCCATGCTACATACTAGCTCTATATCTCATTTAACTTTTATAACAATCCTTTTTTGTTTCTTTGGTTTTTTGGTACTGGGAATTAAATCCAGAGGCCTTTAACCACTGAGCCACATCCTCAGCCCTATCTACTTTTTATTTTGAGACAGGGTCTCACTAAGTTGCTGAGGACCTCGCCAAATTGCCGAGGCTAGACTCAAACTTGCAGTCCTCCTGCCTCAGCCTCCTGGGTACCTAGGATTACAGGTGTGCACCACTCACCAGCCCAAAGATACCACTAATGATAACACAGGGTAATGGGCTGGAGACAGAGACTCTAGACCTGGAGCCAGCGTGATGACAGAGGCAGAAGCTCTATGAGCTTCTCCTCAGGAAGGTCGGGGTGAGGGAGAGGCACCCACTCTCCTGCTTCCAACTCCCAGGCTAATTTTAGAAGAAACAAGGGAGAAGTAAAATGCCAGGCTGTGTTTTTCTTGATTGCTGTGTCAAATTAAGAAAACATTCAGCGGGGCKCGGTGGTGYACACCTGTAATCCCAGCGGCTTGGAGGGCTGAGGCAAGAGGATCACGAGTTCAAAGCCAGCCTCAGCAACCTAGCAAGGCCCTAAGCGACTTAGCAAAACTCTGTCTCAAAATTTTAAAAGGGCTGGGGGTGTGGCTCAGGGGTTAAGCACCCCTGGGATCAATCCCTGGAACCAAAAAAAAAAAAAAATCCTTTCATAATCCAAGGCCATTATTACACCTATCAAGATTAACCTCATTCCATTTAACACTCAGTTCATTATCAAATGTCCTTGCTTGTACCCAAAGGTCTTTTTAGAGTTGGTCTGTTGAATTCGGATCCAAACAAGGGCCGCACACACTTATACCTCTGAAGTTTCTTGTAACCTGGAGCAGCCTCTCTCCCTTTGCCTCTTCACAGGGTTACTTATTACAGAAACTAGGTCAGGTGMTTTACAAAACCCACATCCTGGATTTGACCATTTACTTCCTTGTGTTGTAATTTTAACTTGTTCTTTTATCCCCTGAATTTTCCGTAAGTGAAAGTAGCTGGAGAGTCGGGTTTCACTTTCTTTTGGCCAGAATAAGAATGCTTCATGGGGGGTTCTGTGTGCTCTGTTCTGGGCGGCCCCAGGTGGGACAGGTCAGCTCCCACCTGGAGTGACACCAAGATTGAGGGTTCAGATGGGAACAGCCCCAGCCCTCCACCGCCCTGCATCTTGGGTCTTCAACTATTGATCATCACTCTCTGCACTGATTACTTCAAGAGCGGCTGCAAGGGAACCTTTTCTGATCCTACCAGTCCAGCCACATTTAGGAGCTGGAACTCTTCTCTCATCAGCTACTATTATTTTCAATAAAATTGAACAGACACCAGTACCAAATTATATTTTTAAAAAACATTTAAACAAAAGAGAAAAAAGAAGATATTTGGGACTGGGGATGTAGCTCAGTGGTACAGTGCCTGCCTAGCAAGCACGAGGCCCTGGGTTCAACCCCTAGTACCGCAAAAAGAGAGATTATTCTGTAAGCGATCCTACAAAAATCCAAAGTCGGTACTTGAGATTTGTCCAATGATATGAAAGTCCAAAGACCTGGGACAACCACAAGACTGTAGAGTGTCTAGTCAAATTTTTGTTCCTGTGACAAGTGAAGGAATTAAAAAAAAGCCAATCCTGATGATGCACAACTGTAATCCCAGTGACTGAGGAGGCTGATGCAAGAGGATGGCAAGTTTGAGGACAGCCTCAGCAATTAAGCAAGACCCCATATCAAAATAAAAAGGGTTAAGGTTAGGGTCTAGGGATGTAGCTCAGTGGCAAAGTGCCCCTGGCAAGTACCAAAAAATTAAAACTTAAAAAAATCTGTCCAGAGTTTTAGACTCTCTGCAAAATAATAAGCTACCTTTTCTGGAGGCAAATCTGAAATARAGGTCTTACTGGTTTTAAAGCTATATTTAAGTGAATCAGCAGTTAAAACTGCCTGTGAGTACCATGAATTAATTGGAACATCCACACAGGTGGCTGTGATATGGACAAGAAAAGGTTTTTCTTCCATGAAATGAACAAGAGAAAATTGCAAATAGTAACATTACTATCAGAAAAATAAATTAAAGTGAAAAGCACTGAGAGTTATCCTAAAATGACAAATCAACAGCGAATGACCTAAAACCAGAGTGAATAAAATAAAATTAGGGTGTGTCAAACAAGAACCATTAAAAACACAGAAACTAACAAATGCAACAGTAGTAGTAGTTTCATTCCTATCAAGCACACAAGTGAAGACCAAATGGATCTGAAAAATATAAACTTGTCTAAAAAATACTCAATTTGGCAGTCATTAAACAAGTAAAGGGAGAACTGACTTTCTTCAAGTGTTCACTTCTGAAAGTGAATTTATTTAAATAAAGAGGTAAACATCTTGGGCTGGGTATGTGGCTCAAGCGGTAGCGCACTCGCCTGGCATGCGTGTGGCCCGGGTTCCATCCTCAGCACCACATACAAAGATGATGTGTCCACCGAAAACTAAAAAATTAAATATTAAAAATTCTCTCTCTCTTTTTTAAAAGAAAAAAAAAAGAGGTAAACATCTTTATGCTACTATACTGAAATACAGTAAGCCTGGTGTCTGCCCTGCCACAATAGCTCCTGTTACTTAGCTGGGCATGTTTCTGTATTCCCATCTCTCCCTCTTCCCACATAAGGACTCTCATCCCAAAGCCAACCCATAGCAATGAATAAGAGCAGATAATCTAAACTGAGCCCAGGGGCACATTCCTGAAGTCCCAGTGGCTCAGGAGGCTGAGGCAGGAGGATTCCAAGTTCAAGGCCAGCCTCTGCAACTTAGTGATGACTTCAGCAACTTAGCAAGACCCTACCTCAAAATAAAAATTAATAAAAGGGGTCTGGAGATGTAGTTCAGTGGTAGAATGCCGTTGGGTTCAATCCCCAGTACCTCCCCCGCCCCCAAAAAAAGATAATCCACACCAAATAAGGCTTCTTGGGAATTCGAGTTGAAAAATAAGGAAAAACTTGGGCAGTTTATGAGGAACAGCAAGAAATCATGTGAGAAGTGGCTGAGCCATATTAACGGCAGAGAATTGGAAGGAAGATCCTGAACTCCTGCTATGAGCTCTCATGTTTTCATGAATCCAGAGCTCCCTTTCCACTTCGGTCTCCAGGTCCATCCTGGGATTGCTTGATGCCTTTGTTACACTCTTCTTACTGTTCCACAGATGTCTGCCTTAGGTAGCTACAGCTGCTGTAACAAAGCACCACACAGCGAGTGCTGTACCCAACAGAAATTCATTTTCCCACAGTTCTAGAAGCGTGAACTCCAAGTTCAAGGTGCCAGCAGGGCTGGTTCCTTCTTGGGGSCAGGAGAGACTAATTTGTTCTGGGCTCCTTGACTTGTTGAGTGTCATCTTCTCCCTCTGGACATGCAGGTATCCTGATTTCCCGCTCCTGTCAGCACACTGCCCATGATGGATTAGGGCCACCCACTGACTTCAATCTAACCTCATCACCTCTTTAAAGGCCTTTATCTCCAAATATAGTCACATTCTGAGTACTGGGGGGCAGGATGTCAACATGAATTTCGGGGGAGACATAATTTAGCCCGAAACACTGTCTTTAAAAATATCTCCTCTTGATTTAAGCTAGCTTCAGTGGGCCTCTGTTGCCTGGAACTGAATTATCCTTACCAAAATAGCCAGATTTTGTGATGTGCTATTATTCTTTCAGGCCTCCCAACATTTTAAGCTACAAAAGAGCAATAACACTTTAATGGTTCCTTGACTTCTGCCTCCATGATTGGTCCAGAAAACATAAAAGGCACAGGAAGAATTCTGCGGATGCTGTGGGGTGTCATCCAGGGCCCCCTGCAGAACCAAAGCACTTATTCCGCCAGCAGTCAAGAGTGCCAGCTGCAGAGAGTTCACAGCTAAGTCTTACAGCAAGAGCCACCAAGAGAGTCACCTCACCCCAAGTAATGCCCCCTTTCTGGGAGGCTGTCTGCATCCAGTGAGGCAGAGGTCCAAGAGCTCATCCTTAACTCTGCCCAGGAAATCTCTGAAGGGCAATGCAGATGGGCCGAGGCCTCTGTGCCAAACGCATCAGTGTTCAACTCTCGCTCTACCCCATCCTGTGCTCCCTCCTCCATGTCCCTGCAGGGCTACTGATCCTGAGACTGCTCGCCAATAAATATCCTGCACACAGATCTGCCTCAGAGTCTTCTTTTCCAAGAAACCCAACTTGTAGTCTATTCTATAGATGAAACTGTAATGGACATAAACACAAAAGAGAAAAACGTGAACCAGATACGGGGTGAATTTCCTCTTTTCCATTTCTTGCTGTTGGAGAATCCTGTCGACCTTCCATCTCATTGCCAGAGACAGGGTTCTCAACCTGCGGCTCCACACATCCCCTCCCACCTTCCATCCCCACCAATAGGCAGAAACTAGTCACCCCACTCCCCCAGAACAGCAGGGGGCGCCACAGGCCTCAGCTCCTTCCCTGGGTCTGCAGCTGCTCATCTGAAGTCTCTGGTCCCTTCAGAATCAGGCTGGGGGTAGAGACCAGAGGAGAGAAGGTGGTGGAGCACAGGAACCCACCTAGGAGAAGCCGGTCCTGCCCCTGGCTGCCCCTGCAGCTGGCCTCTGCCAGGAGCCCGAGTCCAGGAAGCAGAAAGTGCAGCTCCTAAGCAGAGCCATGCACCCTGCTGGCCCCGCAGTCCTGCTGCTCCTTCTGCTGGGTGAGCTCGTGGGGTGCCGTGGAGAGGGAGAGGAAGGTATCATATCGAACAATATGACTCCACTGAGGGGAAGCTACTCATGAACAGCGTGACCCAAGAAAGTCCCCGGAGGTTCCTATGCCCTGCACTGTGCTAATGCTCCTGGCTGGATAAAGCAATGACAAAACAAAGMTCCCTGTCTTCATGAGACTTATAATCAACGCACTCATTAAACATGTAAATTATAAGACATATTAGAAGGTAATAAGTACTATGGCAGGAAAGGGCATCTAAAGTTCAGGGGCAGGAGGTGTGTTGTAATACTAAACAGGGCAGTCGGAGCAGCCTCAGCCTCACTAGGGGTGTCTGAGCAAAGACCTGAAGGAGGCTGGCAGGTAGCTCAGTGCCAGAGTGCTTGCTTAGCATGTCCCAGGGCCTAGATTCAGTCCCCTCACTATGAGAAAGACAGAGAGAGACAGACAGACAAAAGAACAGAGCTTGATGGAAAAGAGTAAGCAAAGAGGGTTCAGGTAAACTGTACTTCAAACAGAGGAAACAAAAAGGGCTTCTGACATATATGGTTCATTTATTTTTCTGGCCCACAGTGACTTTTTTTCTTTCTTTTTGTGATACTGGAGATTGAACCCAGGGGTGCTCTACCCTGACACTATTTTTTGAGGCAGGGGCTCACTAAGTGGTGGAAGCTAGAACTCGTGATCCTCCTGCCCTCAGCCTCCCCAATCACTGAGATTAGAAGCCTGTCCCACCGTGCCCAGCCTCACATTGATTTAAAAGGACATGCTGAGAGAAGCTGAGAGGTAACAGCAAAGTCAATTCAGACAAAGAACCAGCTCAAAGGGAAACAGCTTATAAATCTCAAAAGCATCTGAGGGCACCATTGTATTTACAATTTAAAACACTGATATTCTTGATGATGACCTTAAATCATAAAAAAAATAAATAAATAAATCACAGCTGGTAAAAAGGAAAAGACAGGGGCTGGGGGTTGTGGTTCAGTGGTAGAGCGCTCACCTAGCATGTATGAGGCACTGGGTTCAATTCTCAGCACCACATAAAAATAAGTAAGTCCATTGACAACTAAAGAATAAATAAAGAGCTGAGGTTGTGGCTCACTGGTAGAGCGCTCGCCTGGCATGTGCGAGACCCTGGGTTCTATCCTCAGCACCACATAAAAATAAATAAGTGAAATAAAGGAATTGTGTCCAACTGCAMCTAAAAAATAAATATAAAAAAATAAATAAAAAGGCAGGTAATTATGGAATTATCAAAATTCCAAATAATGGGTAGATATTTATTCATTTTAGCCTTGAACATCAATCTGAAAAGTTTAAATGGAAGGGACGCTGCTCTGTTCAGTGGATCTAGACATAAGAAGTATTATTATAATATTAATGATATAGCATATCTTCCTTAGGGTCTTGCCCAGGCTCTTTTCATAAAAAGAAAGGTCTGCAATCAGGTGAGTGGTTTCTACTCAAGACTGTGGGATTTGGTGCTGGGCATGGTGTTGCAGACCTGTAATCCCAGAGGTTTGGGAGGCTGAGGCAGGAGGATCAAAGTTCAAAGCCACCCTCAGCAAAAGCAAGGCACTAAACAACTCAGTGAGACCCTGTCTCTAAATAAAACACAAAACAGGGCTGGGGATGTGACTCAGTGGTCGAGGGCCCCTGAGTTCAATCCCTGGTACTCCTCCACCCCGCAAGAGACTGTGGGGTTTGAAACTGGAATAGGATTGAGCATTAAGTCTGGGGAGGGGTCTGGTCCTTCAGGGACTTGGGAGTTTGCAGATGGTAAGATGGGGACCACAGGAAAGGACTCCAAGATATCCACAGTGCCCTTTCTCTTCTCTCTGTAGTGTGTGGTCGACCTTCTCATGAAGGCCGCATCGTGGGTGGCCAGGATGCTGCTGGGGGGCATTGGCCATGGCAGGCCAGCCTGCGCTTTTCCGGCGACCACGTCTGCGGAGGGTCCCTCATCAGTGAGAGCTGGGTCCTGACAGCAGCACACTGTATAAAATCGTGAGTTCCTCTCGGTAGCCAGCCCCCGGCAGGGCGTCCATCAGTATCTGAATGATTTCATGAAGAACCAATAGACCGATGAAAGTGGTGAGAAGAGCAGGGCAGAAAGAAACCAGAGGAGCCTGTGGGGACGGGGCATGGAGGTAGAAAAAGAAGTGACGGAGACAGCACTGTATTAGACACTTTTCTAAGTTTTTATCAAATCACTTCCTAAATATCAATCAGGAGGTTTGGTCTTGAATTTTCTTGGATCACAAACACAATCTGAGTTCTGTCTTGGAGCCATCATGTGAGGGAAGCAAGCGGCCCACATGGAACCGGTATCCCTAGCCGACAGCCAGCCAAGGCCCAAAGCCAACATCAGTGACCCTGGAAACGGGGTGCTCCCCCACCCAGCACTGAGATGACTGCAGACCYCCCGACCACAGCCCCACGATAGTCCCAGAGTCAGAGGCAGCCCATTGAGTCACACCTGACTTCCAACCCACAGAATCTGTCAGGTAAAATGTTTGTTGTTGGAAGCCACAAAGCTTTGGGACAAAGATGACTAATAGGCACAGAAGTCAAAATAATAAGACTTTTCAATATCAGTGAAAGCTCAAAGAAAATGGAGGAATGACTTCAAAATGCTGAGGGAAAATGGTTTCCAACCTAAAATTCTACCCCTATACAAACTGTGAAGTAAGAAGGGGGAGGAAATAAGACGTTTCGAATATGCCAAGCAGCAAAAATGTTACCTCCCACACACAGTTCACCAGGAAGTTACAGTAGACTGCGTTTCACCAAAATAAATGGAGAAAAAAGAACAAGAAAACATGGGACCCAGACAAAAGGAGAAAGAGCACAGAAGAGACTCTCCAAGAAAATCACAAAGAATAAAGGAAAGAGCCAAGATGACAGCTGTACAGTGGCCTAGATGGGAACAGCAGGGCAGAGGGCTCCAAAAGACAGTCCCTAAAAGGCCCAGTAGGTCCAAAAAAATTGGGTGGAGACTTAGACTTTTGGGAGACAGTTTGGGGAAAGAATGAGGAATTAGTGATGGGTATATAAAAGAACTGAGAAAACACAGTAAGAAACATTAACTCCAGGAGAAGCAAAAGATTTTACAAGAAATACAATCACAGGACCCAATGTGACCCACAGAGAATAATGCTGATGTAAGCCGGGGGTGGGTAATCCCAGCCACAAGGGAGGCTGAGGCAGGAGGATCACAAGTTCAAAGCCAGCCTCAGCCAACTTAGCGAAGCCCTAAGCAACTAGGTGAGACCCTGTCTCTAAATAATGTATAAAAATGGCTGGGGATGTGACTCAGTGGTTAAGGCCCCTGGGTTCAATTCCTAGTACCGATAATAATAATGATATAATAATGCCGACATAGTTGTGGGAGCATACACATTATATACTGACCTAACAAAAACTCAGGATGACATTAGTTAAGAAGACACAGGGAAACAAAGATGAAGACAGCACATGGACAATGATGTTAAGAAAGCTCCAACTGCCCGGCACAGTGGTGCACGCCTACCATCTCAGCAGCTCAGGAGGCTGAGGCAGGAGGATTTTGAGTTTAAAGACAACCTCAGCACGAGTGAGGCCCTAAGCAACTCAGTGACATCATGTATCTAAATAAAACATTTAAAAAGGGCTGGAGTGTGGCCCGATGTTTAAGTGTCCCTCGGTTCAATCCCTGGTACCAAAAAAAAAAAAAAAAAAGCAAGCTCCATCCTCACCTGCCACATCAGGAACTCGGTATCCAGAACTAGAAGGGAATTTTTGAGAAAGAGCATAGCGCCATTTTTCTTGAAAATACGAGGGAAATTAAAAAGGGCTTAAAAAGCTGAAAGTGACCACCTCCAAATAAATCATGTAATCTGATAGTGATGGAGCAGGAAACTTTTTAAATTTATTTATTTTGTACATTTTGTTAAACTGCCCGRCATTTTTAATCATTATAACTTGGGTTACATTTTGCCTTAAAATTTTCTGTAGAGATGGCCGTATAGTGGTCAGAATAGCAATCAAAACTGGCCCTAAGGAGCAACGACTACTAAGTACCTAGGTGATGGCCGAAAACTTGAGAAGGGGAAGGGGAAGTGGGAGACAGGGGAGAACGTGCAGGACGAAGCTGTGGCTAGAGCACCAGGAGGGGAGGAAGGAGAGAGGAGGCCACAGGCCACCCCCAGTCCCGGATGGAGGTGCCCTGGGGAATTCCCACTCAGACACCCGCCTCTGTCTCTCTTTTTCTTGATTTTTTTTTTCTTGTTTTGTACCAGGGATTGAACCCAAGGTGCCTGATCAATGAGCCACATCCCCAGCCCTTTTTATTTTTTTATTCTGAGACAGGATCTTGCTAAGTTGCTATGAACTGGCGATCTTCCTGCCTTGGCCTCCTGAGTCGCTGGGGTCACAGGTGTGTGCCACCAGCTACCTCTCTTTCTTACGTGGAGAAGTCGTGCTGGATGTGGGCAGCTTGTTCTGCCCCAGGGAGGCCATAAGCATGCTCACTTAAATCTCCTCTTCCTTCCCCTCTTAGGTCCTGGGTTTCCTTTTACAGCGTGTGGCTGGGATCCAACAAAGTACAGAACTCCCAGGGGGGCAAGGAGTACTATGTGTCCCGAATCATCATCCATCCCAAACACAACACCACCACTGCAGACATTGCCTTGCTGAAGCTGTCCTCCAGGGTCACCTTCACTCCTCTCATCCTGCCCATCTGCCTGCCCAATATCACAGGGCCACTGACACTTCCAGCCTCTTGTTGGGTGACTGGATGGGGAAAAACTGAGGAAGAATCAGGTGAGAATGGGTAGAGCAAGGGGTGGTTTTATATTTACCCTCTCGTACGTATTCCATTCTAAACATAACCTCACCATAATAAATTTTTAAAATTAAAGCAGATCAAGCCAATGATATTATCTACAAGTCTTCAAATATTTATTTACTCTTGTATCCTGCCTAGAGTCCAGCTATAGCTGAAGAGCAGATACTAACAATGGAAACACATAATGACCTCTCTCYGTCAGAAGTTAGTAACCCTGACTTGAAGTTTGGAGAGAATCTGGTATTCTTTAAAGTGGTAGCCAGGTGTGGTGATTTAACTGTACCAAAGGATCCTTCCATAAGCAAATATGGCTGGACCCTGAGAGACTTCTGCACTCATGACAGAGTGTGGCCCCTGAACTGATCCAGRTGACCTTAATCTTTCATTCTTATTTTCCTCTGCAGATTCTTACCCTTCTACTCTCCAGGAAGCTGAAATACCCATTTTTAACTACCAGGCTTGTGAACGACTCTTTAACCCCGTTGGCATTTTCATCCCAGGATTGGAGCCAGTCCTTGAGGAAGACAAGATATGTGCTGGTGATGTGAAAAAAAATAAGGATAGCTGCGTGGTTAGTATTGTGGTTTACATATGTGGTGTTGCCAAAAATCTCACAAGAGACGATGCAAGAAAGTTCAGAGGTGAAATGATTGGGTATGAAAGTCTTAACCTAATCAGTGCGTTAATTTGCTGACAGGTACCGAGTGGTACCCATAGGCAGGCAGGACGTGCTAGAGGAGGTGGGTCCCTGGGGGCCAATCCTTGAGGTTTATATTTTGTCCCTCTTGAGCAGAGCCCTCTTTCTCTGCTTCCTGTCACCATCTTCTGAGCTGACTTCCTCCACCATGCCTCTCTGCCATGACGCTCTGCCTCACCTTACGCCCACAACTGGGGAGGCAGCCATCTATGGACTGAGACCTCGGAAACCATGAGCCGAAATAAACTTTTCCTTTTTTATGTTATTCTTGATAGGTCTTTTGATCGAAGCAACAAAAACCCTGACTAAAAGAGATCTTAATTTGGGGGCTGGGGTTATAGCTAGGTGGTAGAGTCCTTGCCTCACACGTGTGAGGCACTGGGTTCGATCTTCAGTGTCACATAAAAATAAACAAATAAGATAAATAAATAATAAATAGATAAATAATAAACGATAAATAAATACCCTTGTATTATGTCCTTCTACAACTAAAAAAAAAAAATTTAAAGAAATCTTAATTTGGATCCAAGTTTTCCTACCTGTAAACGGTRAATTAGAGCCAGATGAGGGTTCTGACAGTGATTCTTGTGCTACCTGTATGAAACACTTACTTACATCCATACATTTAATCTCTTTAACGATAAGACTTACTGATATAGACCAGTGGTCAGACTTTTACAGACCTATCAATTTTAATATATTAAGATGGACATGCAATCATTTTTTAAGAACATTTCATCATATACCTTAAATATGTCATTCTGCTGTCTTTCGATCACAACTGTCTGATGAAAAGTCAGCCACCACTTGAATCCTGGTTCTGCCGAGTATGAGGCGGTGTTTGCTCCCACTGCTATCAATATTTCTTCCTTTACCTCTGACTGGCAGTGGCTTGAAGGTGGTGTGCAGGTGTGGTTTTCTTTGTATTTATTCTATTTACAGCTCACTGTTTACGGGTTTTGATTCTATTTTTTCACTAAACTGTAAATTTTTTCAGTCACAATTCCTTCAAAAATCATTCTGCCTCATTTCTCTCTTCTCTCCTACTTGAAACAATAACTTTGTAAGTTGCACCTTTTGATATTTTCATATAGGTCTGTTTTATTTTACTTTTTTCTGTTCTTCAAACTAAACAATCAAACTTAATAATAATTCAACTTAATTAGTCTACATTCAAGATCACTGCCTCACTGCTTTAAGATCTTAACGTTAAGCTCAGCTAGTGAGCTTCTTTTATATATATATGTATATGCGTGTGTGTGTGTGTGTGTGTGTGTGTATATATATATATATATATATATATATATTTTTTTTTTTTTTTTAGTTGTTGATGGACCTTTATTTTATTTATTTATATGCAGTGCTGAGAATTGAACCCAGTTCCTCACACATGCTAGGCAAGCGCTCCACCCCAGTTACCATGAGCTACCACTCTGGCCCATGAGATTTTTTTGCAGGTTTTAGTTTTAGTATGACCATTTGGTTCCCCACCCCACCACACACACACATTTTTCAAAATCTCTGCCAAGATTTCCTATTTCTGTTACCTGTATGTTCATTAATGTTTTTTCCCTTCGCATGAGTTGATCACAGTTAAAGTAGCTTTTTTTTTTTTTTTTTTTTTTGGTGGAGGGCGGTGTACTGGAGATTGAACTCAGGACATTCGACCACTAAGCCACATACTCAGCCCTACTTTGTATTTTATTTAGAAATAAGGTCTCACTGAGTTGCTTAGTGCCTCACTGTTGCTGAGGCTGGTTTTGAACTCTCAAGCCTCGAGCCTCCTGCCTCAGCCTCTCCAGCTGCTGAGATTAAAGTAGCTATTTTAAATCTTTGCCTATTCCAAAATCGGAGTTATCTCATGGTCATTCTCCAGTGATTGCTTTTTTCCTGAATAACAGTTTCCAGTTTATCATGGGAAATATTTTCCTTTGTCTTTTTGTTGCTGTTTTCTTGTTGTAATATCTAGTAATTTTGGACTGTATTCTGGACATTGTCGGTGACACACTGTGGAGAATGTGAATTTGGATGCGCCTCCTAAGAAAGCAGATTTCCTGTTTTAACAGGCAGTTAACTTGGCTAACCCCAATAGCTAGCCTGTCTCTCCTCTGACGGGTAGAAGCAGTTCTTTAGCTGAGCTGCTCGCGATCCCATAGACCGGGAGTCAGCCACAGATTGGAGAACAGTTTGCATTTAGACTCCCTCTGTGGCTCTCTCCTTCCTGGTATTTCTCCCTTCACTTTCCAACTGCTGTGCCAGCTTTGAACTTTGCCCTCTGATTCCCCAAGCTAGAAAGACTGTAGGTTTCTGTTTAACAGAGAAATACAGAAAATTCTAAATAGGAGGAAATTAACACCCTCCTAAATAATCAATGGGTCAAAAAAATGAATCACAAAGGAAATTAGGAAATATTTTTTTAAATATTTTTTAAAGAGAAAGAGAGATACAGAGAGAGAGAATTTTTTTAATATTTATTTTTTAGTTTTCGGTGGACACAACATCTTTGTTTGTATGTGATGCTGAGGATCGAACCCGGGCCGCACTCATGCCAGGCGAGCGTGCTACCGCTTGAGCCACATCCCCAGCCCAGGAAATATTTTTTATACAAATATTAAAGTTTGGAATAAACAGGGGGAGCTGGCATGTGGTACACTTCTATAATCCCAGAGACCAGGGAGGCTGAAGCAGGAGGATTGCAAGTTCAAGACCAGCTTCAGCAACTTAGTAAGAAAGACACTGTCTCAAAATAAAAAATAAGAAGGGCTGGGGATGTGGCTCAGTGGTAAAGTGCCCCTGGGTTCAATCCCTAGTACCAAAATAAATAGGTAAGTAATGGGGAACATTATTACCAAAAATAAAAAGAATTGTAAGATAATACTATGAATAATGGTATGACAATAAACTTGAACACTAGGATGATATGGCCAAATTTATAGAAACATGCAAACTACCATAACTAATTCAAAAAGAAATAAATGATCTGAATAGACCGAGGATAAGTAAGGAGACAGCATTAGTGATTTAAAACAAACAAACAAACAAAAATGCCCAGGCTCAGATAGTTTCACTGGTAAATTCTACTCAATATTTAAAGAAGAAACTCTTTAAAGGAAGAGTTAGAGGAAGGAACATTTTCTAACTCGTTTTTTACTATAGCTGTGGGTAAAGCTCAGTTGTCAAGCTTGTGCTTAGCATGCACAGGCCTGAGGTTCAAACCCCAGCACCAAAAGAATTAAACAAATCAAACACTAAGGAAAAACATGTAACAGAAGTAGAAAATTTATACTCTAAACTACAAAAGTATTATTGKAAAAATATTAAAGACCCAAACCCGGCATGGTGGCACAGGATGATCATAAATTCCCAGAGGCTCAGGAGGCTGAGACAGGAGGATTTCAAGTTCAAAGCCAGTCTCAGCAACTTAGCGAGGTCCTAAGCAACTCAGAGAGACCCTGTCTCTAAATATAAAGTACAAAGAAGGGCTGGGGATGTGGCTCAGTGGTTAAGTGCCCCTGAGTTTAATCCCCGATACCAAATAAATAAATAAATAAGTGCTTGYCTAGAATACATGGGAACGTGGCTTCAACCCGTCATATTATTTAAAAAAAAAAAAAAAAAGGAAAGGGAGGAAGGAAAAATCAAAGACATCAATGAAAAGACATTCTGTGTTCAGTGAACAAAAGACTTAAATTCAACACAATCACTATCAAAACCCTTTTGAAAAGGAAATTTCAAAATCATATGTGGGGATGTGGCTCAAGTGGTAGTGCAATCACCTGGCATGTTCTAGGGGGGGGCGGCTGGGTATGATCCTCAGCACCACATAAAAATAAAAAAAATAAAGATGTTGTGACCACTAAAAACTAAAAAATAAATACTAAAAAATTCTCTCTCTCTCTCTCTCTCAAAACAACAACAACAACAACAACAACAAAAAAAAACACTCAGCTGGTTTCTTTGCAGAATTTCATAAGCAGATCCTAAAATTCACATGGAGATTCAAGAGGGCCAAATAATCTTGACAAAAGAATAACAAAGCTGGAAGATGCACACTTTCTGATTGCAAAATTTACCACAAAGCAACAGTAGACAAGAACAGGACTGGCATAAGGCTAGACATACAGATGAACAGGGCAGAACTGAGAGTTCAGAAATAAACCCTTCTATGTATGATCAATTAATTTTAGTCAAAGAACAATTCATGAGCAAAGAACAATAATTTCAACAAATGGTGCTGGGACAAGAATAAAATTGGACCCCTGCCTCATATATACAAAAATTAATCCAAAATGAATCTATGACCTGTAAAAACTAAAACATAACACTTTTTTTTTTGCAGTACTGGGGATTGAACCCAGAGGTGCTCTACCACTGAGCCACATCCCCATCCCTTTTCTAGCTTTTATTTTGTGACAGGATCTCCCTAAATTGCCTAGGTTGGTCTGGAACTTGTGATTCTTTGCCTCAGCCTCCAAATCACCGGGATTACAGGTTTGCACCACTGTTCCTGGCTGGATTTAAAACAGTAACACTTTTAGAAAAAATAATATGGGTAAATCTTTATGAGCTTGATTAGGCAACATTTTCTTAAATATGCATTAAGCAACAAAAGAAAAATAGAGTTCTTCAAAATTCGGAACTTCTGGGGCTAGGGTTGTGGCTCAGTGGTASAGCACTAGCCTGGCACATGCAAGGCCCTGGGTTCAATCCTCAGCACCACATAAAAATAAAGAAAATAAAAAATAAATAAAAATAAATAAATAGAATAAACAACTAAAAAATAAATTTTAAAAAATTCAGAACTTCTGTGCTTCAAGGGACACCATCAAGGAAGTAGAAAGGTAACCCTTGAAATGGGAGGAAATTTCAAAATCATTTTTTTTTATTGGTTGTTCAAAACATTACAAAGCTCTTGACATATCATATTTCATACATTTGATTCAAGTGGGTCAAAATCATATGTTTGATAAGGAATCTGCATCTAGAATACATTGAAAGCACATCTTGATAATAAAGACAATATAATTTTTAAAATAGAATCGATATTTCTCATAAGATACATAAATAGTCAGTAAGCACATGAAGAAGGCTTAATATCAGTGACCATCAGGGAAAAGCAAATCCTAACCATAATGAGATACTGATWCACACCCCCAAGGAAGGCTAAAATAAAGACAGATAATAACAAGAGCTGACAAGGATGTAGAAAAGCGGAAGATGGGGCTGGAGTTGTGGCTCAGTGGTAGAGTGCTCGCCCAGCACATGCAAGGCCCTGGGTTTGATCCTCAGCACCACATAAACATAAATAAAATAAAGGTATTATATCCAACTACAACTAAAAAATAAATATTAAAAAAAAGAAAGAAAAAGTGGAAGCTTCATAGACTATTGCTCAGGATGTAAAATGAGGCAGCTTCTTGATTAATTACCATATGACTCAAGGTTCCACTCCTATGCAAACACCCAGGAGAAATGAAAACATGTCCCTATAATAATTATCTGTGCATTAATTTCACAGCAGTATTATTTATAATAGCCAAGGGGTGGAAACCCCCAGGTGTCCATCAGCTGATGAGTGAACAAACTATGATATGTTAATATAATGGAACATTATTCAGCGATAAAAAGGAATGGGGGCAAAAATAGATTACCAGTTGGCCTTGGACTGAGAGGGCTAGGAAGAAATGAGCTGAGAACTAATAGGTACAGGGTCTCCTTTGGGGATGAGGAGAACGTTCCAACGTGGGTGGTGGCAATGGTTGTACAACATCCTAAGTATGTTAAAAAACCACCCAAAGGTACACTTTTATTTTTTATTTTTGGTACTGGGAATTTAACCCAGGGGTGCTCTACCACTGAGCTACCTCCCAAGCCCATTTTAATTTTTGAGACAGGGTCTCACCAAGTTGCTGAGTCTGGTCTCCAACTTGTAATAATCCTATCTCAGCCTCTCGAGTTCCTAGAATTACAGAAGCGTGCCACTGCGTCCGGCTCTTGATAGCGCACTTTCCACGCATGAATGTGTGGTTATATGACTCCTACCTCAAAACTGTTACAAAAAAAGAAAAAACAAGATAGAGACATACTAACAGCCACGGTCACTATTACTTCACGTAAGAAAGAATTATTTTAACACCAAGAAAGAGCAGTAAGACCCTAAGAACACAAAGATCAGGGTGGTTCATTCCCTGGATACATGTAGCACTGTGAGTTAAAAGCCTGATGCGTCAAAAACACACCACATGAATCTTACTTGGATTCATCTGCCAAATATTTTGAAATCATCAACATATTTTGCTTAGTTCCCGGCCAATTTAGTGATTCTAGAATTCCCGTGATCCTTCTCCAAAGCAGTAGAAGTCCAGCTTCCAGACAGTTCCATCGGCCTCAAGGCCCAGTTCCACAGAACTCTCCATCCCTGTGACTGCTCTCCTCTGCATGCCCTGCACGGCACTCATGACCTCTCTCTCTCCTAGGGCGACTCTGGAGGGCCTCTGTCCTGCAACATCGATGGTGTGTGGATCCAGATAGGAGTGGTGAGCTGGGGAATGCAATGTGGCAAACTTCTTCCTGGGGTCTACACCAATGTCAGCTACCACCGAACGTGGATTAGTGACTCTGTCTCAAGAGCTGAAGTGCCGGGTGCCAACCATTTGGACTTATCGGACTTCTTCCCTGCTGGACTCGTCTGCCTGGCCCTTCTGGGCCCCTCCTGGGCCTTTGGGCCTAATGCTATGCCAGAAGGATAAAGAGAAGAGCTGAAGCTGCTGGGGTGGGGTGGGCTAGGGCGGACAGGTGGGGTGGACAGGGCAGACAACCCATGGGAGAGTTGCTGGGAATCACTTTGAAGGACTGTTTTTAAGGTTCTTGGTTCTGTCAGTGTGTGTTCGTGGCTGGAATGTGAACGGCTACCAAACAAGGCTACCACTCCTGGGCACGGTTTCTTTGTCCCTGACTTACGTGTCTTATGTGACAGGAAGGATGCACTCCATGGGAAAAAACAATTGTGCATACAAATTAAAAAGCTATTAGAAAGGCAGGGATCACAAGAGTATTTGGGATGGCAAAGGCAAAGTTTCAAGGACTTATAACAAGGACCTGTTTCCTGCCCACACCTGCTTCTCACCTGGGCTCATTTCTCCCCTCCGCTACCTTCCTATGCTCCTCTTTCTTTTTTTTTTTTTTAATATTTTTTAGTTGTAGTTGGACAAATACACTTATTTTCATTTATTTGTATGTGATGCACAGGATCGAACCCAGGGCCTTACACATGTGAGGCGAGCGCTCTACCACTGATCCACAACCTCAGCCCCCTATGCTTCTCTTTCTGACCCCCGTCTCCCCCTCAACCTTTAACAAGGGGCCTAACATAAACACATATATGTAGCCCAGCTCTGAATGCTTCTGAATTTTTTGCTTTTTAAAATACCACTGTGGGGCTGGGGCTACGGCTCAATGGTAGAGCGCTTGCCTAGCACGTGTGAGGCACTGGGTTCAAGTCTCCCCATGGAATATAAATAAGCAAAATGAGTGTCCACTGACAACTAAAAAAATATTAAAAAAAAAAAATCAATGTGGCCAGTCGTGGTGGCACACGCCTGTAATCCCAGCAGCTCAGGAGGCTGAGGAAGGAAGATCATGAGTTCAAAGCCAGCCTCAGCAATTTATCGAGGCTCTAAGCAACTCAGGGAAACCCTGCCTCTAAATTTAAAAAAAAAAAAAGCAGGGGTGTGTGCTGGAGATTGGCTTGGTGGTTAAGTGCCCCTGGGTTCAATCCCCAGTACCAAATAAATAAATAAGTGAATACCAATGTGAACTTCTATTAAAATTAAATAAATCTCTGGAGGTATTGGATGTCAACAACCTGGACCCATCCAGGTTGTTAATATCACTCCTATAATAAAGTACTTTAAACGCTTAGAATGAAGAAAAGATTATGATGCATGATCGGCATTTTATAAACAATCACATAGCCGCCTGCCCTATTCCCTTGTGTCTTCAGGCCACCAAGAATGCAGGGTTAAGTTTTGTATTTGACTGCTCATTATTTTTATCCTTGATTTTCTGCTATTATTCCATTCATACACCTTCAAGTCATCAACTCATCCTGTATTTCTCATTTGACTTATTACATCCATGTTTTTTGTGGGAAGTCAATTTTCAAAAGCAACTTTTTTGACAAATAAATACATTTAATAGGAAGCGAGGGTGACAGGGAAACATAAAATCCTTGACAATCCTGAAGCTCACCTTGCATCTAGATGGCCACCAGGGCCTCTGACTGGCACCCCGTGTCCTTCTCATGCCTAAAGCTCCACCCAACTCCATTTATTCCCCACAGCATTCAGACCAGGGTTTTAAAAATAAAAATACTTTTTGTCTCTTTCTCCCCTTTTCTCCCTGCTTATAGCCCTTCAAAGGTATCCTGTTGCTCACAGAATAAGGATGAAATCCTCACAGTCTACAAAGCCCTGCGAGGTCTGACCCCAGCCTGTTCTCCTGCCCCGTGGGGCATGGCTCTCCTGTTCTCTGTCCTCAAATGCTCTAAGTACCCTCTCAGCCTCAGACTCTGACATCTTCTGTTCCCTCTCCCCTCTAGCCCTTGCCTAATTATTCTTCCTATGCCTTCAGATTCTTAATTCACCCATTATTTTCTCAAAGCTACCCTTGGCTCTCCTGATCAGAGCCAGCCCCTAATGTGCTCAACACGCCTGTGATCTCACATTGGTGTGTGTGGTTCTCTACTGAACGCATGTCTGTCTTACCAAAATGAAAGGTGCGCAAGAGGAAGAATTTTTGTTTTTATCCACCATTGTATCCCAGTCTCAGTAAATACTCACTGAACGAATGAATGAATAATAAACATCCAATTAACTTGCTTGTATCCCCAAAACACACTATGTGAACCTGGGTATTTTGCTTACTGAGATAACCCAGACCTGACGTAAGTCTTACACAAAATAGGTGTTTTTTTCATATAAAAATTTATTTGTATCATTTTTTTTTAGTTGTTGATGGGCACAATACTTTATTTATTTATTTATTTATATGTGGTGCTGAGGATCGAACCCAGTGCCTCATATGGGCTAGGCAAGCTCTCTACCACTGAGCTACACCCCCCGCCCCACAGAGGTTTTCAAATATTAATTAAATAAAGGATGAAAGGAGGAAAGAATGTTCCAGCACAGTTCTCTTCCTCACTCCTCTCCAGCCATAAGGAAAATAGGAGAGAAAGATCACTCAAAGCAGGCAAACGGAGAGGCTTCTCATAGGTCAGAACAAAAGCTAAGCAAGCACTGGAGTGAGACAGAGGGCCAAGCAACGTGGGAGCCCAGGGGACACAAGAAATGAGGAGCAAGAAAGGAAAGCTGAAGGGAAAGACAGACCAATCAAGAACAAGAGAAGARGAGCCGGGCATCGCGGCGCACACCTGTAATCCCAGCAACTCAGGAGGCTGAGGCAGGAGGATCACAAGTTCAAGTCCAGCCTAGGCAACGTAGTGAGACCCTCAGCAACTTAGGAAAACTATCTCAAAATTTAAAAATAAAATCTTTTAAAAAACTGTAAAGGGCTAGGAATGTAGCTCAGTGGTAAAGCACTTAATATCTTTTTTTTTTTTAAATATTTATTTATTTATTTTAGTATTTGGTGGACACAACATCTTTGTTTGTATGTGGTGCTGAGGATCGAACCCGGGCCGCACGCATGCCAGGCGAGCACGCTACCGCTTGAGCCACATCCCCAGCCCAAGCACTTAATATCTTAATTTTTTTTTTTTTTAAAAGAACCAGAGAAGCACAACTAGGCAGAGAACGCACACAAGGATATGAGCCACGGCCATGCAGCAAAGAAGGAATAAAGGTCAAGAAAACCCAAATACTCCTTCCTATCACTCCTCTAGGTTCTTAGCTCAAAATGGGAAGCAACCATTCCACAGCATAGTATCCACCCAAATTTTTCTCATGAACCAAGAATGGAAACTTCATACGTTGGAGGGACCAGCCTCCAAGTGGAAAGAAAGGGATATCAAGACAACAGAACCTTATGACCTTAGTGTTCTGGCCACTACTGCTTGGCTGGACCAGGGATGGAAACCTGCCTTAACAGCTGCCCCAGGCACTGGAGCAGTTAGCCTAGAGTCTCACCCAAGAGGTGCATTCAGTACTTAACACACAACACCCCCCCCCCCAGGGAGGTTGGAATTGAGTCCTACAGAATGTACTGCGCATGCACTAGGGTCAGGTGCCCACTAGGAACAGGCAACAGTCAAAGCACCAAGATACAGGAGTACCTAGAGCACACTCAGCCCACCCTCCAGGGACACCCAGATTCCAGGGGGAGAGGAGGTAGCACAAAATGCAAAAGAAACACAGATTCTCAAGTGTTGGGGCATGATATTGGCCAAATTATATTGTTTTATGGTGTGCATGTATGACTGTTATATATAATTATAATACACCAATGGAAAAATGTGGAAGGAGAAAGGGGAAAAAAAAGAAGCACATGCTCTCAGGTTATGTACAAGAAAGCCTGATAGAGAAGAGAAAAAGCCTGATAGAGAAGAGAAAAAGCAGGCTACAGGAACAGGGAGCAAGACTCCACCTTTGATAGGGTAGGGGAGCACGCTAGCATGTATGGCAGGGAACAGGGAGGTCCAGGCGGCTGGAATGCTGAGAGCAAGTGCAAGAGGTCGGAACTCAGACCAGGTGAATCATACCTCACTACAACTATGTTTTAACAATGAAAAGAGGCAGGGGCCAGGTTCTGCAGGGCCTAAGCCTCAGGAAGGCCTCTGAATTTTATCCTCAGTGAGATGAGAAGCCACTGAGAGCAGGGGAAGAATGTAAGACAGAAGAGCAAAGAATCCCGTACCCGGCTCATGTGGTGCAGACAGGCCAGGAGGGGGCTGCCGTGGTAGAGAGGGCAGTTAGGTGGGAGCAGAGTCTGCAAAGCAGCAGAGACAATCACACACCAGGCACTGAAGTGGAGCTGAGCAAAACACTCACACACTGCTGTATCCTGAACATCGGGAAGTCTCCGTGAGGCCGAGTGCTGGTTTTTGTCTCCACATTCCTTCTCTGTTCCACCTGTGCATAAAGGCCCCACTTACCAAAGTGATAAGAGAAAAGCCCAAGCCCAAGGTCTTTACCCTCTATTTCTTCACTAAGACACCTGCCTTCTTGGATTCCTCCTTCTTATCCAGAGCAATATTCTCAATATTCCACCTCCAAGCCTCATCCTCTACAACAGAATACACCACAATACACTTATTTCTGTCCAATGCTTAGGAAAGGAAGCAGTAAGTATATGAAAAACATTAACAGCACCATAAGAATTTTTTTTTTTTTTTTTAATTAGAGCTGGGATGGAGTTGGGTGGTAGAGCACTTGCCTGGCATGTGCGAGGCCCTGGATTCAATCCCCAGACTGGTAAGAATACATCTAGATACTGTGGGGAGCAGCAGCCACTTATCACATAAATAATATGGCATGTGAATTATGCCTCATTAAAACTATTTTTTATAAAAATAAACAGGGAAGTTTATCTCCTGCTAAAATTAAATAACTTGTGTGTGACGCATTCAGGGCTCTCTGATGATATCCTAAATAATATTTGTGATTGTATTTTTTTTAAATATATACTTTTTTGGTTGTAGATGGACACAATACCTTTATTTTATTTGTTTATTTTTATGTGGGGCTGGGGATTGAACCCAGTGTCTCATGCATGCTAGGCAAGCGCTCTGCCG